TTTGCCAATAACACTCCCTTTAAAGGAGTCATTGTATTTACCTTCAAATAAATTACAGCATCAGTACCCACACCTTCCATTGAGTAAAGTTTGAGATCTCCTTGAAAGTATCTAGCATAAAGACGAGAGATTGGTAGACCATAACCATAGCCAGCCTAAAGAAAAAATGGATAATGTAAGATTTAAAAATGAAACAATTATACTTACAGAATGCCTTTGCTAAAATACTTCTCTCTGGTCTCTAATAACTGAGAATGACACGCCGCTCTGAATGCTGTCAACAAAGTAGCACAAGGGACAAAAGATTTGCCTCCTGTTCTACAGAATAGCATTTAAAGGGCAGCTTTCTTTGTCATTCATTATGTTTCACTGGAGGGCGAAGACTTTTCTTCGATTTCTGAACACATTTCCAGGTTGTTATACTTTTAATGTGTATTGGCTTTAAATATGATTATTTTGCTGCATGTCTGATTTCTCATTTTCTTTAGATTCTATTCTCCAGAAAGTGAACCAAAAATATAGTAAATAAATATATATTATAATGCCTTTTTTTCCTTTCAAAGTTTAGATTACTTGAACATCAGTAAGCTTTCAGGTCATAGAAAAGTTTGAGAAACAGTGAAAAATCACAATAGTACAAAGCCATTTTGACAACATGCACTAATGAACAGCAAATCTGATTGCAGAGACTTTAGGAGGATGTGGATTTTGTCCAAGGATGCAGTTACATTAGCGGAACTGACAGTGATCTATAAGCCACCCAGGCAAGTTGATAGTCTTTCATGAATCTCTACAGTGGCGGTTAGTGCTGCAATATCCCAGTCATTGCTCAGTGGTACTGAGATTCTGATGGTAGTTTATTACTTGAGATTGTTATTCACAGCAGTCTCTACACATAGGAGATGCGGAAAAAGCGAGAGTTGGAACCGCATTCTTTGGTCAGTCTACTCTACTAGATCAATTATTGTTGATAGCATGAAGCAATGAAAGAAAGAAGAAAGTTGTAGAGAAAATAAGACTTGCAATTTTGTCAACAGAAAAAGTATTTCTAGATATATAACATCCTAACTGTGCTCCAAGTATGTTTGATAGAACACAATGCCTTTCAAATCAACAAAAAATAGCTACCATATAGACTACTTGCAAAGGAACTGAAGCAATTATTTTTAAAGGATTCTTTTCTCATAGTATGGTCTGCAAGGCAACTGGGACATGGCCACCTCATGACCTAAAAGTGTGCAGTATATCACAGAGATTCTCCCTCACACCCTCAGCTCATTCATTAGAGCCATCTTCCATCTCTATGCTTGAAGTCAGAGCTGATGAACTTTTGTGATATGACCCCAAATCCATGCCATGTAATTGCACACAAAACTGACAGGCATCAATCCTTTAATATGGCTCTGTCTTCATTCCAGTACCCAAGAGTGAAACCCTATCAATTTAGGTTTCCAACATAATACAATTGTTTAAATATTGCAATTTAAAAAGTTTCATTTTATTTACCTTTATTACATTGTATTAGTATTCAACTAAATTTAACTCTGAGTATAAAAACTGAAATTAATGAACATGACTAAGTTAGGTCTACTTAACCTAGGTAGGTAGGAGTACCACCTACTCCCACCCTTCTGTTCTCTAAGGAGTTCAGGTGCCATGTAAGATTCTCTCTCCCTCCTGCCCCCACCCATTTTATTCTTGAAACAATTCTGAGATATTTGCTTCACTACAAAAGAGTGACTGACCCAAAGTCATTGTAAAGCTTCATGGGATTTTGTTTTTCTAAAAAAGTTAGGTTGCCTTTAAGGCTAGGACTTTATCAAATATCTAACACAATAAAAGAAAGATATGAACACAACAACAAGTAATTAATAAAAGTCATTCAATCAATCAATCAATCAATCAATCAATATTAAAATACAATACAAAAATACAGCGAAAAGGCATTCCTCGTCCATAAGAACTTTACTTTATTAAACCAAATATTGAAACAAAATCCTGAGGAGTCTCCAACCTTGTGATATGGCAAAACAAGCAACTAAATAAATAATCCTGAAGTATTCTGGAAAGATTTGACTCCTAGCTTTTCTTTTTTACCAATCCCATCATGTCAGAGAATATTTCTCTTCCAAGCAGGTCACAAGAAGTAAACCATAGGACAAGCTTTGATTACAGTTCATGGTTTGTCTGGGTAGTGTCAGGACAACAAGCTATAACTTATGTCAGTGCAGCACAGTAGCAGAACAACAGGAGTAAAGTGGCTGTGATTTTCCTTCTGGGAGCCTGCACATTTCTTCATTTGTGCTAAGCTGTTCCACCCTGATTATGTTTCATATCAGAATTTAAACTAACAGAGGACAGCAAGTTAAATATCAACTTTTTATTGTTTAAAAATATGCAGAATCTGTAAATAACAAACTGACGTTTGAGAGTAAGCCATCCCACTATAAATGTATTCAGCGACATCTATCATAGGCGACATCTAGTATACAGTGTATAGAATCACATAATGCATCAAAAGAAATCATAAATATTCTGCACCTCATAGATGAAGCTATTTTTAGTTGACCATCATTATTATTTCATCTAGGATCTACTACAGATATACTGCATCAGTTGACAATCAAACAATAGCTTGTGTTGACTCCTATGTTTTTCAGACAAAGTTTGTGTCAGGAAAAGGCAAAAATAACATAAAGCTATGAGAAGTATTTTCTGGGAATCATTAGCCTATCATTAGCCTACAGGACAGAACTTACCAAAGGTACAGCTCTTGATGGCTCCAAACTAGGCCTGGGGGCAGTTGAATACATATAGTTAAATAGGCGGTCTATTTTTCTCAGTGGCACACCACCACCTTTATCACTTATCTATAGAAGAAAATCAAAGTTTCATTAAGACAAAATGCCCTCCAAGGACACTGTTTATACTATTAATAATAGAGAAGTGGTTACTTAACACTTGCATAAATACCAAAGGAAGTATCTGTCTGTCTGTCCACAAGCAGCATTCACCATGTAAACTATGGGCTGACATCTGATGTACAGAATAGAGCCCTGGGGCTCAAAGTGAATTCAGGATCAGCTGCTCCAAATCTAAAAGGTTAGCTCCTCCTTGCTTTAAACTACACCAAAATTAAGTTTCCTTAATTAGTAAACATTCTCCTGATTACAGAATTGAAAGCAGAGTAGGAATGAATGATATGGCCCATGCAAGAGGTGCCTGCTCAATTCACAGAGTAGCTAAACACTATAAGGAAATGTGAAAGTTACTCTGAACTTCTAGTCAGAAGGACTGGAGTGGAGAGGATGGATTCCTTTCCAAGAGAGAGAAAAAAACACACCACCTCTCTGTAGCCTACTTAATAACTATCTGCAACTAGAGTCATAATAATCTTTGAAGTTCTCTCCCTCTTTGTAAACTAGGCCTCTGACAAAGTAGTTGTCAAACAAACACACAGCTCTTATCCCATTACCACATAAAACCAGTGCTTTTTTCCTGGGGGGGACACAGGAGTATGCATACCCTTAAACATTTTGTAAATCTAAGTTGGGCCTGATTGAGGAGCAGTATTTCAATATGAGTAGGAAAATGAGAGTACCCCTAAATACAGTGGTGCCCCACAAGACGAATGCCTCGCAAGACGGAAAACCCGCTAGACGAAAGGGTTTTCCGTTTTGGAGGCACTTCGCAAGACGAATTTCCCTATGGGCTTGCTTCGCAAGACGAAAACGTCTTGCGAGTCTTGCCATTTTCCCCCCCGCTTCCCCCCCTTTTTCTAAGCCGCTAAACCGCTAATAGCCTTTTAGCAGCTCAGCCGCTAAGCCTTTAATAGCCACTAAGCCGCTAAACCGCTAATAGCGCTAATCTGCTTAGCCGCTAATGGGGTTGCTTCGCAAGACGAAAAAACCGCTAGACGAAGAGAATCGCGGAACGGATTCTTTTCGTCTTGCGAGGCACCACTGTATATATTTTTTAGGAAAAAAAGCAGTGCATAAAGCTGCTTTTCCTCAAGATGTTACAGCGAAAATTGTTTAGCAAATTTGTACCTTTATTGATAGATCTTCTTTACCCAAAGTGACTAAGGTTTTAACTGGTGGATAGCCTTCACTTTTACCCTCATATAACTCTACTGTGGCTCGCATTGAGTTCTGAAAAAGAAAAAGAAGTGTTAACCAGGCACAGGGCCTTCTCAGCAGTGGCACCCTCCCATCAGATGTCAGGGAAATAAAGAATTGCACAACTTTTAGAAAACATCTGAAGGGAAGTTTTTTATGTCTGACATTTTGTTGTTTTTTGTATTTTGCTGGAAGCTACCCCGAGTGGCTGGGGAAACCCAGCCAGATGGGCGGGGTATAAACAATAGAATTATTGTTAACATTTCTGAAGCTTTTAATAAGCATTAAGCAACAATATTAGAAGATGTACAAACCTATGAGCACCACTTTTAAATTTCTTTATTTAAAAATATGACTAAATTCACATAAAATTTACACATAGGATTAATAAAAAAGTAACATTTAACAAAGAAGTTGAGAAATGGTGTTATAGTAAAGCTTCTTGTGGGCAAAGGATCACCAGCATACAAAGCAAGCTGCCCCAACACTACACTGAATGGCAAAACCTACGCTGCATATCAGTGGACTCACAGAGCCCTGCAATGGCTTCAAAGTGTGTTCTTTTATTGGATATGTTCATTTGAGCTCAGTTGATTAATGTAAAATATAGATAGTAACAATCTATATTAAGTGGTAGTAATGACAATGTTTGCTAGTATCAGTAACTGTTAAAACAGCCTCATCCCAGGTAACAGTGTACAATAAAGAATATGCTTCCCTATGGTTTCATATGTAGCCATAGTTGTCACATAAAAATCGACTACTTGGGAGAATAAAACACTTGCCACCAAAGAACTGTGTCAGTTTTCTATCACTAACTTTACCTATTTACATCTTCACTTTCTGTTGTTTTTTCTGTTGTTTTTTGAGAGACCCTTTTTTCAATTACAGATTTTGCCTAACACATGAACACTCTGTGGAAGAGTACAAGGAAGAATGACATGTTATTCTTCTAAATCAAGGCAATTTGTGCACACGAGGACCACAGGTAACATTTCACACAAAAATGGGCAGATGCATCAATATTTAAGACTATGCTTGGTCTCAGTATTTTTTCCAGTGCACTCAAAGAGGCGGCAAGCAAAATTAGCCTCCTTCCCATGAGACAATTCTACTTACCTTGAACAATTCAAAAAGCATGTGAAACAGATGTGAGGGTACATAGACTACTTGAATAGGCTTGCCCGGCGCTTTAGCTAGAAAACAGAAACCATTTATATAATTGAAAATTCAATTTATGATGTCTTTAAATTACCATTTTCTAGTATAAGATATCATACTTTTTTATTTTTCTGATTCTTTCTTTTTTTACCTTTCTGATTCCTAGAAATATGAAACACCAAATATGTCAAGCCAGTGCAGAGTTGGTAGTCAAGACAGAGCACCTTCAAGAATTCTAGTATGAACAAACCAAGAATGCTGCCCTATGCAATAGCCTTCACTCGCACACGTAGCTCAGATTTTCCATGTTTAAAATAACTGTGGTGTCATCATATTTAGTTAATTACATTTTGTGGTTTAAGAAGATCATGGGTCTCCATGACTGTAGACTCAATTATCAGAATACAAAGCTGCAGATAACGAAATCCACAAATGCAAGAGAGCTTTACACTTGTGTTTCCTGAACTGAAGCTTCCATGTGGCATGGTAAACCATATTTTAATAGGGGGGAAAAGCTTGGAAAGCAGTTTGTAATATGGTAGAGGGATTTGTCACCAAAAAGCAAAACATTCATTTGGGCATGTTCAATCCTCTAACTGTCCAAAACCTCTTTGGATCTTAAACTCTGAGATGTATTTTTAAAAATCCACCTGCTGCAGTCTTACTAGCTACTTAAAAAAAAAAGTGGCCAAAAAAAAGTTGGAAAACAAAATGCAGAGTTTCTTTCCAACTTTCCCTTGCTTATAACTTTGGCACAGCTCTTAAGTCAAAATGAATGTTGTGATTAAATTTTATAAAAGAAAATAAAATAAAAGATCCTTAGAACGCACAAAGCCCAGATAGTTATAAGAATGCTAAAAAGCAATGAACTTCAGTATTACCATTGAATTCTTCAATTTCCAACTCGGGTGATACCAGATAATACTGTTCACACAACATCTTAGCTGTTGCAAAGGCATCTGTGAGTGAAGAAAACAAAAACTTATAGAATTATGCAGTAATGTCAATATACGTATATTCTGTACCTCAAGAAGCTATAATTTTTTCTTATTTTTTTAGATTTCTTATTTTGGTCCTGTGAGGACCAAACTACATATAAGTAATCATATCCTCTGACATAAAAACAGGCTTCTAACTTAAATGGAGAAGCAGGAATGAAGAATGGGGAGTTATACATCCTCCCTCTGTGTTATTTCTCAGATCAAAATTCTGCCCCCAAAGCTACTATTGGCTCCATGAGAGGAAAAATACATGCCCCATTCACTTTAACCACACATTTTAAAAAAACACATTCATCCCACTTTATTTACCCAAGGATAAGTGAACAGCAACATGAACTAATCCCTGCCAGAAGTGAGGCTCTACTTTTGCTCTGTAGCTTTAAGTCTTTGTTTTAAAACTACAATAAATTTTATTTTCCTATGTTTTGCCAGTTCCACATAGAAGGCATGTACAAAGCAAAGCATGTAATGTATTCCCTAGATTTAAGGAAGTATTTTCAAATTCAGATCTTTCACCCATTCCCAAAAAGTAATGGTTAACCATGCCATCTATTTTTTTTAAAAAACTACTCCAGCAATTGTTAACAATTTTAGAGACTGCGCACAAAAATGTAATTGGCATCTTTCACTATCCAGAAGTAGAATTTAGGGAGATGATTCGAGAAAGAGAGTTGTATGATATTAAGCATTTCAAGTACAGCTTCATAGTTGACAAACCTATTTGAGCAAGCAAATGCATACCCAGCTTGTTTCCAGAGCACAGTGAATGATAATAATAAAACTGCAAATAATTGGGTTTCTTGGCTCCCATAAATATATCGCATTGGAACAAAATATAAATAGAAAATTGAAGTTACTTCAGAAATGTCTTGAAGATATATTTTCTGTAACTTAACTATGCTATACCTCCATCTAGTGACAAGAAATATCAATACACTACAGAACCAGCTCTCTTCAATACCAATGGGTCTGTGCTATTTATTTGATTTATGTTTTTTAACATAAATAAATAACACATCTCCTTCTTGAATTTCATGCTCCCTCCCTTTCTGGAACCAATTCTTTCCCTTTGCTTGTTAGTTTTAACCATGATTTACTGTTGCACCTGCATCACCACTGAATGGGACCCCCAAATTAACCAAAATTTTAAGTGAGTTTGCATATCTTGCTTTGGGAGAAGCTGATTACCCTTAACCATGGGTGCCATCAGTGCATATATAAACCTTGCAAGGAAAAGGAGAGGCTACTGACTGATAGATGAGGGATTTACCATTAGAAATGGTTCAAGGCATTACACATGCAATCAAAGTTCCAAAAACAACTTGGGTTTACTCTTACCATCCACTACATCAGCTACATTACACGTAGGATCAATACTTCCAATATGTTTGGGATGAGCAGGATTAGTGACCCCACCAAAAAGTAGTGCTAAAATGAGAGGAAAGGTAGACATTAATTGAAGTAACATTTTGTAAACAGTTAAAGGGTAATGGAATCTAATGGCGAGTAACACTTCTTAAAGCCTTTCAAAAGGGAAAAAATACTACTGCTGTGCTGCATTTTGATTGCAAAAGTTTGCTTTTGATGGGTGTGAGATGGATATAAAAAACCTATCACCACCTAACATAGATAGGCAAGATGTGCATATGGCCATGTTTCCTGGTTCCCTTTTCTTTCATACCGATAAGCAGTCATTATATTTAATTATTTAATTTAATTTAAAATAAATGTGTATCTTACATTTTTTATTTTATTTTCTTACTGCCACACAGTGTAGCCAAACATAACAAATTGAACTGGTTTCTGGGTCAGCAGAGATTATCGCCTTGTCCCCACTGCATGAACAAAAACGCGAGAAGGGTGTAAAAGCATTCACAAAACTTGGGTCTTTCACTTGGCTCAACTCTAGAAAATATTGACTGACAGTTGCTGCAATCCCAGTCTTGGAAGCGGAGAAAGTTCTAGCAATAATTATTTGGGAACATCTTGCTTAACATTGCTAGCAGCCAACGACTGCAGTCCTATATCCCCTTATCTGAGAATAACCCCCAATGGACTCATATATAGCCTTGTGCTATAAGCTATACACAGCCAAAGAGAGACAAAGGGTAAAGGAATTATCTGAACATTATTCAGTAAACTGAATGTGAACTGCAGTGTATTTAAGAATACATCCAAATATACAATCTGGAATGGCAACATGTGCTTTAAAGTTTTCTTGTATATTATTACAAGAAAATCACCACTCTCTATGTGATGGTCTGCCTCCATCAGACTCATAGTTATTTTGGTATTTGGAAGCAGGGTTAGCTTTGTGCAATTCAGCATTTATGGAAGGATGTAAAAATTAATAATCTAGCCCCCAAATGCACAATTGTCACCAGGCCTGCTGCAATAGGACCTGTCACTCTTCACTAGCCCTATGTCTCACTAATTTCTGGCTGCCATTTGCTGCCACATGGCTCTAGGGACTGTTCCAGATAGCTATATGTATTTCAGATCAAGGCTAGTCATAATTTTCCGCGAGTCCTTCCTCTGTATTTAACCTTCCTGCTTTCCATTTGAAAGCAAAGGAACAGGCTCAGCACTAAGTGGGATAGTGCTGGCTGGTGCTGCTGGAAGCTGCAGTCCCAAACAGCAGGAGGGTGCCAGGTTGGCGAAAGCAGGGTCAATTGATTGGAAACATTTACAGCTGTTCAAACATCAGCAAACAAAAGCTATTTGCAATCACCGCAGCAATACTGATAAGGGGAATGATTTGCACAGAATAACTTCAGCAGTTGAGGTCAAGTCCATAATGCATTTGAACAGACTGATATTAAGCAAATGCTACTTTTATAGCTGCAAAAAAATTGTTCCTTCTGTGCGTTTGCTAACTAGACTGTGGGTGGGAGTTAGCATAGTCACACTGGCAAAACAACGAAGGCTAGATTTCCTTAACTGATAGGCAGTCAGATGCAACTCATGGTTTCTTTGTTTTTTCCACAGCCTGCTGAGAACTGACTTGGCACTCAGCTCTTGGAGACACCCTGCATGGCACTGCTCTCTGACTGATGCACAGGCTGCAATACTATTTCATGCCAAAGCAAGCACAGACATCCATTTAGTGTCCCTTTCTGACTTCACCAGATAACGGATGCAGAAACCTGCCTTGTATCATTATTTTTTTTAATCCATAACCTCAGTTATTTTCTGAGGAAACTGTTTTCCAGACTCCCTCACCCCACCCCAGTGTCAAGAAGCTAATAACAAAATATTCAGGAAAAGCCTGCTTGAGACAGGATGTTTCTTTTTCCCTTGCTCCAACACTGTCTTTCTCCTTATGCCAAATAAAACCCCAGTTCTTTCTCTCATCCCCCACTTATATCTGAGCTCCTTCATACCCAGATCCTTTTAAAAACTTAAGCAGCTCGAAAGGCAGAAGAGCATGAAATGCTGCACACAACACGGTGAATGACATAAATTGTGTAAACTTCTTAAGTCCATTTGCTAGCCTAATGTTTGCCTTACAGTAGACAGAGTGGCGTAGTAAGAGAAAGAGGAACTAACATTGGCCCTCCAGATGTTGTTGGTCTCCCATTAGCTTTAACCAGAATATCCAATGGTTAAGGGTGATGGGAGTTAGCTGCCCTTGAGTTAAGAGACATGAGCTCGGACCTTGGAGATCTAGGTTAAAATCCCCACAGTCACAAAGCTCATTGGTTGAGTTTGCCCCAGTCCCATTCTCTCAACCTAAACTATTTCACAGAACTATTGTGAGGATGAAGGAAGGGGTGGGAGGAAGACCAACTTTTGATTAAATGGACAGCAGATACTTACTGTGCTGGTTAATCAGCATGCGGAACGAGATGCGGTTGGTGTAGAACCTATCTAGGAAATACTGGATGTTACTGCTGACAAAAGGGTCAAAGCCATATTTTTCTTTGTATTCAATCACTCCTTGGGCCATGGTAGGAACAACATCATTGTGTCTGTTCCTGACTTTAATTAAGACGTCTAAAAAGCTGGAGAGGGAGAGAGAAATCAGAAATAAGATGTGACTGTTAACTACAAAATCTGCATCTTAGATGACACCATTAAAATTCATTCAGAATACAAAACTTTCAGTACCATCACATTGTACTAAAATATTTGGCTGCAGATGAATATTAGATTGGCTATTTCATATCGTCATTTGAACATCTGCCTTCCTCACCTCTGCAACTCATGGCCTCAATCTCCCGTCCGCTTTCCTTCCAATCTGCCCTTTTTTAAGATCATCTCTTGCATTCATATTCTTTTGAACTATTCCCTGTTCCAACCTGCATTAGGCCCCTATGCTTTTCTGGGTTTTAAGGCCTTCTCATTCCCCTTTACCTACTTCTTTCTTAAGCCCTTCTGCAGACAGACTTTTCATCTGCTCTGCCCCTCTATAGCATTAGGACAGTTCATCCAATCACTACCCAGAGCCTTTACCACAATATACCTTAGTAAATCACATTGCAGATAACATGCCAGAAAGTATTCTGTATTCCAATAAAGCCAATCTGTTTATCAAGACCTGTTTAGAGCCACATGTGCATATTTTAAATTGTCCCGCTGCTAAATGTTTTGCTCATGCAAGTCAAAACAAAATAAAATAGCTATTCATGCCTCATAGTTGCACCACCAACATTCTTCACTTTGTGTAAGGAGCTGGAAAAATGGGAGAGAGATGCTTCAAAACATGTAATCTGATTAAACCTCCCAGATCCAGAAGGACTCCAAAAGAGCAGCTGCTGAAGTTTGACTGTTTCCAAATTTGGCAGCATCCATTACAATAAAGTTATGATGGTTATGTTTAAGAGCAAGGGACAAATGAAGCATGAATTTCTCTTAACATCATTATAGTTGGGGCCCCTCTTCATTTTCTTGAAACTATTGGAGGCCATCAAGTTTGGGTTTGTTGCAGAAGTAATTCTGCCTGATCTTCTATACCAACTAATCTTACACTAGTAGGCTGGGCCCCACAAGTGCATCACACTCTGCAGTGCTGTGCAGTGGGTATGGAACTAGAGTGGTCCAGGTCAGGGTGGATTCAAATCCCTGGTTGGTCATAAATGCTACTTAGCAGCTTGGAATAGTCATACACTCTCAGACTAATTACACTGCTGATCTCCCACACCTCATAAATCTACCTTTCATTTTCAGAGCTAACCTTGGCTAGCAATCTTTCTGCCCCACTAATGCTTGCTAATCAGCATTAGCTCAAACCATCTACTTCTAAACACGACAACAAACTGTGGTTTGGCTTTAACCATGACTAGTGAAAATACTAGTGCAGACAATATAGTTAGCTTTGAAAATGGAAGGTGGTATACAAATAACAGGCAAAATGAGAGGCCTGCAGTAAGGGATACTAGGCAGTGTTAGGATTTTGCACTGGGCTTTTGAAGCTCTACATTTGATTCCTAAATAGATGGTGACTGTCAAATAAATAACACTTATTTGTGCCATAAAAGCAGATGAAAGACTAAATATACTGGATAAACATTAACTACTGTTTATCTACAACCCTAAAGCAATTGTTGAGCTGTAACTAACTGAACATAAACAGCTGAAAACAAAACACCAGTTGATATTTGAAGCATCAGAAATTCACATTTTCTTCCACTTTTATAATTGACAACACAACTATTTACTTAACATGATAAATGCATAAAAAAAGAATAACAAAAGGAGAGAGTTGTGTTCAATTCCATCTATAATACTAAGCCAACCTTTTTATAGGTTACATAAAAAAGAAGAGAAGGACACTATTTTACATATTAAATTGATCACAGTAGAACACACATAGCTCATTTAGCGAGGAAATACATAGAACATTAGGCTGTCTATATAAAGATAGCAGGTGATCAATTAGTAAAAACTAGCATGGAACTCTTTCAAGAAGAAGGGATCTGAAAACAGAAACATGCTGTTTCCAAGTACCATAAAAATGTTCAATTTTTTTAAGTTAATGTGCATACAAGCATATTTAACTGCTATTACTACTTAAGGTTCCATACAAATATACCTGTAAACAGCAGCAGGTGCAAGTTTTATTTATTTCTTCCTCCCACCAGCACCTTAAAGGTCAAACACATAGCTTGTGAATCCAGTGCTGATTGCCTTTTCATCTTCATAACCCCCCCACTCCCCCCCCCAGTTGAATCAGGTGGGCTGTCTGCTTTAGTTTCTTTCTTAAGTGCTTTCCATGTTTATAGAGTCAAACTTTCGTTTCCCACTTTTTGCACTTATGAAGTGTAAAATTCACACTGTTCAAACAGCTGTTTTACATTTCAAAATAATACTCAGGTGACAAGGGTTGGATCCATGAGCCAGCCAACCAGCACTGTGCATAGCCCTGCTCCAAGGACATTGGAAAATGTCTTCCGGACTGAAAGAAGTGTCAATTAGCATTGCACAAATCCAACTTGTGTTACAAACTAGAAAACAAGTTTCATCCAAAACTAATCCAGGGCAGAAGACTAAACATCTAGCCAACATGTGGTACACACACCACCATAGTGGACTCACATCTAAAACTATCTATGGCTGTACACACCCCAACATTCATTTAGCACTGGTACTGTTAGAAGTTGTACGACACAGATTATAAAACTACTGAAGGTTTGGCTGTTCATCTAATCCATAATTATGGTGAAGGGGGACAAGAGGAATTAATGAGCACATAATGATAAAAAAGTAGGGAGTATTAAATAGGAATCACATTTTACTATACAGTGGTACCTTGGGTTACATACGCTTCAGGTTAGATACGCTTCAGGTTACAGACTCCGCTAACCCAGAAATAGTGCTTCAGGTTAAGAACTTTGCTTCAGGATGAGAACAGAAATTGTGCTCCGGCGGCGCGGCAGCAGCAGGAGGCCCCATTAGCTAAAGTGGTGCTTCAGGTTAAGAACAGTTTCAGGTTAAGTACGGACCTCTGGAACGAATTAAGTACTTAACCCAAGGTACCACTGTACTCTCAAATACCCAAGACAGTAATAATAAACACAAGAGTCATTGCTTGTGCCACACAATCCAGCCCTTGGCTAAGCAAGCAGCATTAGAATCTCAGCCTTTTTCTTTTCAACAGGAACCACACTTGAAAGCGGGGCAGATTGTGTGCTATGTATTTCTTTCCTCTTCCTGTTACCAAGGAAAAACAGGAAGGTGCAAAAAATCCAAATCTGCACAAATCTGCTTAAATTCATAGGTCTTCTCAGCAAGAATACCTGAAATCTAGCCTCCCAAGTGAAGCAGAATGGTTTCCTTTTGCAGGTCCAACTTGGCAGTGCTACCCTCATTTCCAATAATTACAAGTTTGAATATTCTAGTGACAATACTAAATATTTGGCAAGGGGGGTTGGAATATGCTTGAGTCTATTATCTAAGTTACCTTCATTAACTATGCAAATTCCCCACACATTTTTACCAGTTCCCCCCATTTTTCTTGTATCGGGAAGTTTTGCTAGTCTAGAGAGCTGCCATGATGTAAATATAACCTTTCCTATCAAGTAATAAAATCATGTCCATTTTCCTTGCAGGTACTTTTCTAACATACATTTCTGATTGTGAAAGAGTGCTCCTTTTTAAAAGGTATCTTACTTGCCATTTTCGTGTCTAATCAGCAATGCTTAAGTACCTCCGCAAATTCCTCATGCAGTTTTCAAATGATCCATTACTCTAAAAATAATAACTGAGAAATCTGAACAGTAACAACCTAATCCCAAACCTCAAAACCTTCAAATTGCACAAGGAGGGTTTTAACCTACTCACCTGGCTTGCTGATTGGACAAGCACTCCTTCTTGAAAATTATTTAATGCTTAAAAGCTTCAGCTAGATTAGATCCTGCTGATTCTATGAGGATCTGAGAGTTAAGGCCAGGAGAAGTCCATTTCTCTACTTCACTGCTTCAAATGAAAAAAGAATTCCCTTTTTTTGTTCATGAGATCTAAGTATTAAAGGGCATCCTACTCCTCTAACATGTAGAGAAGTGGCAAATAAAGATACAATATAAAGAAATAAAGTTTGCTTTCTTGATTTTTGCTCTGTATTATATAGACTACCTTCTAAGAAGGGCTATGAAAAACACTCTCTTTTAGTAGAGGAAAAAATGGGTTTATTTTCAGGACTCCATTTCAACTTCAAGTATCATCAATGCGAATTTGTGCCATTTTATTCCTACATGTCCGCATATGATCCGCCTGGGTGTCACACTGTCTCTAAACATAACCTTATTGTTTACCCTGACCTTTTGGTTATTTTGTGAACCATACCTGTCCAAATAAATGACAGGGATGACTTTGAAGTTCATCATATCTGATGTTAGATGACAGAAGAAAATAAAATATTATTTGTGAACTATATATATACTCTGAAATATGGATTCTGCACAGTGCCAGATTTACATATAAGCTAAACAAGCTATAGCCTAGTGCAGTGTTTCCCAACCACTGTTCCGCGGCACACTAGTGTGCCGCGAGATGTTGCCTGGTGTGCCGCGGGAAAAATTAAAAAATTGAAAGATTTTTTTTTTAAGTCAAATTTTCGATTGGGGCGCCGTCACTAGATGACCCCTGGGGTTCCCTCCCTCCCTCCCGCTCTGCGCCTCCCTCCTCCTCCTCCTCCTCCTCCTGGGAGGCCCTTCCTGGCTCTCGGCCAAGGCTTGGCGGCTGCCACTCACTCACTCGCTCGCCCACCCGTCCCTCCATCCCTGCACCCGGCCTCTCCCCCTCCGTCTCTGGCGCGGGGGCTGCCGGGATCCGTAGTCCCCTCGCCCTTGGGCTCCGCGCCCGCGCGGGGTGCGCGAACTACGTTTC